GACTCGGCTTTCTATGCCATAACTCTAATGAAGTATCATTCTCCACCAAATCAATTGAGTCAGTAAAAATAAAGCCATGCATTTTGTACAAGCGACATAACTTTATACATCGATCCACGAGCACTATACCTTTAGTAAGCTTTCACTGGCTACCACCAAGAATATTATAATAATCCTCTTCATCAAGATTTCCGACATAGATTAACTTCAGACGAATATCTGGATCATGCTTGATATTGTTAAGAACTAATCTCGAATTATTGTTAGTTTTCATACAAACTATGCTAACGCCAAAGACCCCAATCTCATCATCATGACCTATTTTTTTACCTTCCAAAATTATCTGGAATATAAGAAGAAATATATTTCCTTTGGCGAGACATGAGAAGTGGAACCTGAATCTACAAATCATCTAGTCTCATCATGAACAAGATTAATGATATATTTTTTGCGGGAAAAAAGAATATCATCGTTAATAACAATAGTAACACGATTTTCGTTGTCGCCATCTTCCTTTTGTTGTCTTATTTATCTCTTAAACTTGTAATAATATTTCTTAATATACCCTTTCTTATTATAATTATCACATATAATATTCTTGTACCTGGACCTTGACTTACTTCAATTTTTACCTCTATCATTCTGACCTCTGAAATTATTTTTTTCCTTGTCTTCAGTAATCAAAATATCGGAGTGTGAAGCTAAAGAAGACGAAGTGTGAGATCTTATTCTCATATATTCATTAAAACATCATTCTTAGCATATTTCATAGTTACAATACCATTGGGAGCCGAATTAGTTAAAGAAACCCGACGAGTTTCCCAGAGTATTCAAAAGCCAAAGTCCTTATATTTATTCATCAAACCTTCCAAACATTCCAGACAACTGATCAAGAATACCTCAAAAATTATTTGCATGATCAAAAATAGGACTGCCCTCTTTGTATGTAATATTCATCTATTGTTTCAGCATGAACAACTTATTATTATCAATCATCGAAGCATAAAGTGTCTCGAGTTTATCCCACAAAATTCTAGCATGTATTTTATTCACAATAAGATTTTGTGTATTATTTTCAACTCAATGTCTAATATAGCCACTAACCTGTAAATACTCAAATTTTCAATCCTCATCAGACATAGATTCGAGTTTATTAGAAGCAAACATGTAAATGCATTTTCTTAAATAGAAGATTTTTCATCTTGCCTTTTCAAATATGGTAATTACTGCCATTTTAATACACCATCTTGCTCATATTTGCCCCTGCCATCCAAATAGAAATATTAATCAATATAACCATAAGTTGTCACTACAAAAAAACATAGAATTAGCTACGAACGTCGTCGCTAATCTGTCACTAAATCGTTCATAGCTAGCAAGATTTTTTGATAATCTGTCGTTAGTGACGGATTTTTTGTTTAGCTACAGAATTTGTCCGTCGCTAAAACTAAATTTTTTAGTAGTGTGTGGTACCACTGTATCGGGGAAAAGTAAGCACAAACAATGCGCACGATAAGATAGCGGCAAAATAATACCTTAGTCTAACTTTTTCAATCTATTTGAACCAAGAGAAAACAAAGAAAATTAAGCACAAATGTATCCATGCAGTAAATATATCAACCAATAAATAAATACGACAAGGTAAAAATAAATTAAACAAACGAGACACCATCCTTAATGTGAAGAGTAAAAATTACGTGACCAAAGACTCTCAAAGCTCCACTAAATTAATGAACAAAAGTTACAAAAGTTCTTTAAATTGGTAATAAAGTAAGTGCCAAACTAAGAGCAACAATAAAAATAAAATTGCACCAAAATAATTGAAGAAAGGAGAGAAATCACCCCAAAAATAAGTTATTGTTCACGCCTTCAAAATCGAAGCTACAGTCCTCCAAATTCCATTTCCAGCATTGAAATCCAAGAACCAAATATTAAAAACTCCCAATTCAAATTTTAGCTCGATCCGACAAGAAATAAAAGGAAATCGAAGTTTAATGTATGCTGCTCAAGCTGATTTTTTTTGTAGAAAAATATGCACACTCTCTCTTCTTCTTTTGTGTTAAAAATGGATGTTGTCTCTCAATCTCTCTAACCCCCAAATCAGACATAAATGGTCTTTATGTATAGGCCAAAAGCAAAAATGAATTGTTCCAAAAGGCACTTTTTAATCCACGCAGGAAGGAAACGGCCCAAAAAACCCAACAGAAAGGAGAAAGATGCACTACTTATCATATTTGAACCCCGCTTACGCGGTGAAAGGTGAGATTGATTATCAAGTGATGATTAAACTTCAATATCTAACCATGTAAAAGATACATAATATTTAGAAGAAAGTATAATTTTCTATTTGTAATTTATTCATAATCTAGTAATATTGTATGTCTCCAAATAGTTATTTCATTTCATGCGTTTGCGCTAAAATTAATCTCTAACCATGCAAAGTAGTACATTATATCTAGAGGAAAATGTAATTTACAGTTTGTAAATTTATGCATAATTATATAGTAATATTTCCATGTCAAGCGTGTGTGCATAAACAAAATTACTTGTAACTCGTAATCAAATGGTTGCATCTAAATTAACCTTTTATTAATTTCTTCTTCTGTCGAAAGAAAAAAGGAAAAAAACCCTAAAAGTCGAAAAAAGAAAATCCACAACAAAACCTTTAATAAATTAGTGGACTTATAGAATAGTAGTGAGAATAACATGGTTTATCCACTCTTTTACGAATAAAGGGCAAAGGTTTTTTGTTCCAATTTTATCGGAGAACTTGTCCCTAAACACACACCTCGCCCTTTCAATTTTCACTGCCAGGTTTTATCTACCCTTCTTTTACTACAAAACCTCCCAACAAATCGAACTCAACTGTAAAACCCAATAAAAACTACCCCTCAATCCTCAGTCACCGGTAATTTTTCTCCTTTTTACTACCACTTTTGCTTCTTTTTTATTTTGGATAAGAATTTAAGTTAGACCCTTTTTTTCTATATTTTGTCTAAATCAGACAGGTGTCAAGTGTCAACAACCGTCCACTACAAGGCGACAGAAAAACTTTATCCTTTAACGTTGTAACCGTCACTTAATTGAAGTGTGTTTCTTAAGGTGTAATTTATCGTGCAATTATTAACTCAAATTTTGAAAATAAACTATACTATTAATTCAAATGATTTGAATCTAGATCCCATCAGAATTAGAAAGGGATATTCACCAAACAGTTTGGACGTAAGTAAAATTGGTGAGACATGGAAATCTATGACCACTTTGCTCGTAGGATATAACTACTTCAAGACTTAGGTAACTTTTGTTGTTTTTGTTTTCGTCGATGAAACCAAAAGGTATAAACAACTCTTTAAAAGGATTTTAAAAAATTGGGTATTCGCTGCCAAGGCATAAAGTAAAATGCAAGACACACATCTTTTGCATAAATTTTATTTAAATTAACGCGATTGATTAATATGTATTCTTATATTCATTTTATTACTTGATCCTATATATTATAGGAGTAATAGATAACATGGTTTGATTGCCTAATTCGGTAATATTTCTACTTTTTTCTCTAGGTATTGACATAACTAGGAAAATACAACCTTAGATTTGTTGCTAAGTTACGAAATCGATGAATATGCGGCTAATGAATGAATCTTTCTTATTTCGGCAAAGGAACAAATATACCTCTCTATTTTCGAAAATAGTCTAAAAATATCTCTCGTTATACTATTGGGTTATTTATACCCCTATAGTCATACTTTGGATTCAAATATACCTCTCATTTAAACGGAGGGACACGTGTCATCGTCTAGTTGGTCAATTCTAAATATCTCCTAATTAATTAAAAAGACCAATTATCCATACCCGAATTTTTTTTTTTTTTTTTGTAAAAACAGGAAAAAAATAAAAAATAAATTTACAAAAAACTGAAAAAACGAAAATAATTTTTTTCCAGTTTTTACAAAAAAACACTGCTTTTAAAAAAAACTAAAATATATTTTCTAAAATAATATTTTTGTAAAAACTGGAAAACAAAAATTGAAAAGTAATTTTCTAAAGAAATTAAAAACTGAAAAAAACTGAAATAATTTTAACTAAAAACTGAAAAAAAAGAAAATATTTATTTTTTCAGTTTTTACAAAAAAATTGCTTTAGAAAATTGTTTTTTAGTTTTTATTTTCAGTTTTTACAAAAATATTATTTTAGAAAATATTTTTCAATTTTTTTAAAATCATTTTTTATCTAAAAACTGGGGAAAAAAATATTTTTTTTTTCTTTTCAGTTTTTAGTAAAAACCAATCAGTTATTTCCAGTTTTTATAAAAAATATTGCTTTAAAAAATTAATTTTCAGCATTTGTTTTTCAGTTTTTACAAAAACATTGTTTTAGAAAATATTTTTCAGTTTTTTCTAAAGCAGTTTTTTTGTAAAAATTGAAAAACAAATATTTTCGTTTTTTAAGTTTTTAGTAAAAATAATTTCAGTATTTTCCAATTTTTACTAAAAAAAATAATTATTTTTCGGATATGGGTAATGAGTTTTTTTAATTAATTAGGAGATATTTAGAATTGACCAACATGATGATGATACGTTTCCCTCCGTTTAAATGAGAGGTATATTTGAACCCAACGTATGACTGCAGGAGTATGAAAAACTCAATAGTATAACGAGGGGCGGTGTTAGACCATTTTCAAAAGTAAAGGAGTATATTTGGCCCTTTACCGTTCTTATTTTGATGCTTATAGAATTAGAATACTACTAATATCATCTAATCTTTTCTTGGAGTTTCTTCAAAGTTTGGAACGCTTTGCACATGCTTTACTCATATTTCATCTGAGTAATTTAAAACACTAAAAAGGAAAATTAAACAACTTCCAAGTACGGATGTTTAAAATTCACAAACAAAAAAAAAACTCCATAAAAGTAATGCGAGAATAAAATAAAATGATATAGTTAAAACACAAAATTCAAAGAAAATACCCTGGTTCGTGACTCAACGTTTTTATCGATGAGCAGTTGATCCGAAAGGTGTTCCACGTGGCAGCATGTACGGCCAACCTGGCGGGGAGGATATGGGCCCACCAGTTGTCGAGTAACCGGGTCTTAAGGTAGTTTCTGAGACAGAAACCTTGGTACTGGCAAGTGCATCTACGGGCCTTTTACCGTTAGCGCCAGTAACTTGTATAAAGAAGTGGGGGTTTAAGACATACATGCGGTGGTTTATTTCTCAGGGTTTTTCTTTGGCCACGAAAAACATTGGATGGTTCATCATTACATAAATTACAGGGTATATTATTTTCGTGATCTCTTTTTTTATTTCTTCTCTGATTTCTCCGTTGAATTTTCTGCTCCTTTCTGATCCTGAATTATCTTGTTGCTTTTAAATTCTACGGGAATTTGTCTTTTCATGGGTGATTCTTGGATTTGAATGGAAATTATGGTGACTTTAGACATAAATTTGGTTGTTTAAAGATGGGGTTGTTCTTTTTTGTTATTGGTTTGTTCCCAAATTCATAAAGTTATGATCTTTGGTTCAGAACTTGGTTCGGTTGGAGTGAAAATCTTGAGAAAGTTAAAGAAATGTCCATTTTCAGAATGCACATGGTAAATTTTGATGGTTTGGTGTTTTTTTTTTTTTTTTTTTTTTTTTTGAGGTTTCTCTGTGACATAGAGAGCATTCTTGGAATTCTTAACTTTCACTCTTTTACCTTTCCTCTGAATTCAGAAAACTTTTTGGTGTACTTTTAGATTCTATTCTCATCTCTTGGATCTAAGTGGGGGCTGCTATTTTCAGAATTTAACGTCCAAAAGCTTTCTCTCTTTTTCCACTTGGGGTCCCTTCTTTGAAATTCAGGGTCCGTTGGATTGGATATATCTATATTTCCCTTTGTTTAGTTTGGTTGATCTGATGTTATGGTACTTGTTATGGGGTGGTGGGGGTGTTGGCACTCATGATTTCATTTCTGGTGTTATTCTGTCTGGGTTTTGGGCGGGTTCTTTTAGTTTTTAGTATTCCCTTTTCAAATTTGCAACAATTTACTTTATCCTCGTGAGAAAATGCTCTCTTGTCCTTTAAACAAAGGATTGACTTTATGGAGTTTATAATATCTAAGAGGGTTCTATGTATTCACATTTTCGTTTATTGAATATTTTCTAGTCAGATGCATAAGACCAGATTTTGTGACTAATACCACTCGTTTGATTCATGTATAACCTTTATTCCGACTGATCACAAAACATGTTCCAACGCCATGTTGGAACTTCACATATTATGTTTCTTCTATCAGCACTTAGGTTTATATGTTTCTTGCATTCTTGTTTTGCTGATCTGGTAATGGTTATATCACACTGCATGTCTTAAACTTGCTTTTCCCTTTTCCCTATTTATTGGAGGGGAAAACCTTGAAAAGTATTGAGATCTAGCAATTCCAAGTAATTTCTATTGAAGCAAATGTAGAATTGGAAATAGCTTTTACTTTTGTCATTCAATTACGATAAGGATCCTATTTAATGTCCCTACTTATTTACCTCGTCGTTGCATTTTGGATTAGGATTATGACATCATTCAATTTTGTCCTGATCAAGCAGCGAATCATGGTTGAAAGGTGTAGTTTGAACTGCATATTTAAGATGGGAAGCTTTCATTTACTCAGAAATCTAGCTCAACTTAGGGAGTGACAACAGCTTTAGATATGATTTAAATATATCAGATCTTAATCGATCATCCCTAATATCTTGGTTGATAATCAGCATTTAAGTATCAATAAACGAAGATTATGATGCTGAGGGGTTGAGTTTGGCATAAAGTTCTGCAGTACAAGGCGCTAGTTTTGTAGGATTTGTTTCCCTACTGGCATCTGGAGCTTTATCAAACAATGATGATTCTGTTCTTTTATCTTTTCCCTGAATTAAGAGAATTTCAACTCTAGGATCCTTTTGTTTCACATGAAATTTTATTTAAGTATCACTTAATTTATGATTTAACTTAATTTTATTTTTGCTTAAATATCTCGAATTATAATGCTTGTGATTTTGCAGGGCTCTTCTTTGTTAGACTATTTGGTGCAGTTGACCACAGGAGTTGTGTAGCATGAAGTTTTTAGACTGTAAAAAATCTGCTGGTTTTTTGTGTTCGCTGGATATTTCTTGGGATGGTTTCTGAGATATGGTGTTGCAGAAGAGGTTAGACTATGGATTCAATGGCTATCAGGTGCCTCCTATACCTCGAGCTACCAGATCGGCTAGGGTAATCTCACTTTTCAGATCCATTATTTTGCCTTATAAGTATATTCCTCTGCTATTGAGGCACTTATCCTGATCTTATTTCCCTGGCAATTTTTGTAGAGAAGGGGCACTATTAGGAGGAAAGCTGATGGCGATGGAACGTGTCCCTTTGACTTGTTAGCTACTGTAGCTGGCAAGTTATTGGGGGAGGGAGCGAGCTCACCTGATTCTACGGGTTCTGTTAGAGGGAAGGAGCAATCAATTCTGAAAGATGAGAAGATAAAAGAAAAATCTTATGCTGAAGGCTGTTATGAGCGGGGGTTCTTCATTTCTGAGCTTGTCTCACAAGCTCCAGTTGTAAATCGTTCTTTAAGTGAACTGCCACATGCTCAAAATGATACCATCTCTGGACCTGCATCTGTCACTATGAGTTCTGATTGCTCAGAGAAGTTCCCCTTTGCTAAACAATTTGTAAATGGTGAAAGCAGGGAGGAGGAACATGGAGTCTTTTCAAGTTGTACATTAGACACAGAAAGTGATAAACAGATTAAAATTGAGCTGTCAAATAATGCTAAAGTTTCTACAAGTAAGGGGGCTGCAATTTCCAGTCCAGAGTTCCCTGATGTTTGGGATAAGAAACCTTCAACACTACTTGTTACTTCAGATGATAGTGTAAGATTATCTTTGTCTCCGTATACTGCTCCTTGTAGGTCCTTTCCGGTGATCCGGAATGATGTAAAGTTAGATAATAGAGATGATGACGAAAACTCTGGGTGCACTCAACCAAGCACCCCAAATAAGGCCTCTGGGTCAGCACCACGGGTACGAGATCGCCCAATTAAGAAGTTACTAGCTTCCAAATATTGGGAAGAAAATCTAAAATCTGACAATGAGGGGCATGCCAATACTGGTAAGCGTTTGTTGTTTTTGCAATCCTTCATATTCACTTGCCCTGGGGTTTGACACGAGGAGGATTTTTCCAGGGGGGAAAACAATGCATGCTTACCACAACAGAAACAGTGCCTACAAGCACCAAAGGTCTCAGAGGGATTTTCCTTTCAAGAAAAGAAAGCTCTTCAAATGTGGCTCCTTCTCTAATTCAGATGGAGAGATGAGTACCGATGGAATTTGTAGTTCTCCAACAAGTGACTTACATGGAAATGCTTCCTATTATAGTAAAGCATCTTCTGGAGGTTTGTTCGCTTCTCAGTTTATGCCTTTCATGCAGCAACATGGACATGACTCAGTTTTTACTTGCGTGCATAAATGTGTGTATGTTTCGATCCTTATTGATACTTATTTACCTCTGCATATCAACTCTGACAGGCGGTGCAGCAGCTGGGACGTCAGTCTTCAATGGAGGTCGTGCATCCTTCAAGCCTAGTGATTCCTGTGGTGAGAGAGCCTTCTTTTGGTGTTATCACGTGAATTCTCTTGTATTCCTTGCTCTGTCATTTGAAGAGGTTCTAATATGGGAATGTTTTTCCTTTCACGCAGTTAAGTTTAGAATCAAATCCTTCAGGGTTCCTGAGTTTTTTGTCGAGATTCCAGAAAATGCAACTGTTGGTTCTTTAAAGGCATGTGAAAGCGTTACCTTCAAATACTAATTCACTTTCCTCAATAAGTTTCTATCATCAGTATTCTGCCTTGTGCTACATTTTCTTTTTTTGAATGTCAGTTTGGAAAAACACTATTCATGTTCGTAATATTTTGCAGAGGACCGTAATGGAAGCAGTGACTGCTATACTTGGTGGTGGACTACGTATCGGTGTGGTTTTTCAGGGTAAGAAGGTTAGAGATGATAACAAAACCTTATTGCAGACTGGAATTTCTCATNGGAAGTGGAAGCACTTGTTCAAGCTGTTGAGAAGCTTGGAACAGGAAGGTATGTTTAGTATAACCATAATTAGTACTGAATTGAGCTATGATGTGTATGAGATTCTAGATTATTATTAACTTTTATTATAAATAAGGGTATTTCTTCACAAAAGAGCACTAAGTGAGTGCTATGTATCTGTACAACGAGTTACAGCTCTGGGGATCTCAAAAGAATTCATAAATCTATCAAATTTCATTAACATCTTCACCCAAACTCCCCCCACCCCTACCCCACTCCCCCAACCAGGGCTTTTGTTAAGTGATAATGAAGTACAACGTGGGTCAGGATGCAGACTTCTGATTTGTTTTTTCAGTTTTTCAGTTATTGTTTTGTTGTTTGGCAGATGGCGTGATGTGAAACTGCGAGCTTTTGATAATGCCAATCATAGAACTTATGTCGATTTGAAGGTATAACATTTGTCACTGTCTCGTGCTTTTCAACATCACACCATCCGCAGCCAATTGTTGACTTGCCTGCCGGGATCTCTCTTCCCATTTCGACTTTTATGCTTTGCTTTCTTAATTAGCTAGTTCATTCTGTGCATGACTAATGTTACAATCTGAGAAGCCTTATCCATTTGTTGCTTCTTCAAGCAGCTAAGAAATCATTTGGTTCTTAAAGCGGCGTACTTGCATGCATCTTGTATGTAATTTCCTTTACATCTCCAATACTTAACAAAATCTTCTGTGAATGACCTGGAAAGGAGAAAGAAAATAGTCATGAGCCATCCTCTTGAATCTTGATACACATAGTAATCACACAACATTGAGTTTAATTGACGGCTGTTATCAGGATAAATGGAAAACTCTGGTGCACACAGCAAGAATATCCCCTCAGCAAAGGAGGGGCGAGCCCGTGCCACAGGAGCTCTTGGACAGGGTCCTCACTGCCCATGCTTACTGGTCCCAACAGCAAGCCAAACAGCAGATGAAACAGCCATCGGAGACTTACCTTCTGCTCTAGGAACACGTCGTGGAAATGGCTGCACGATGGGGGACTGAAGAAGAGGTTTCCTTATTTTTTGTCACTGTAAAATATCTTCTGTTTAAAAAGTATTACCAGGGAAAGTTAATTAGTTAGTGCTATATAGTTCCTTGCATGGAGGGGTTGGAAGCTGGCTCTTTGTAAATGTTTGATAGAATAAAGTGATATGCTAACAGAATTTTTTTTGTGCCAAGAATTTGGCATTAAATGCTTCTTTCCTTGGAAAGAAATTCATTCTAGGGTAAGGGTATTGTACTTTTGTAATTAACTCGTTCAATAGAAAAGGCAAAAGGGAAATGTTTTGTTCCCTATTTGATTGTAAAACTTACTAGTTCCTTATCATATTATGATTCTCCACTTTTGGGACATCAATTTCAATTTTAAGATTATAGATAGCTTCATCTTGTGTACCAGTAATATTGCTAATTTTGCTGGAGTTCCTACTTTTTCGAAGTCATAACAAATATATACAACTACTTTTCCCTTCATTCTAGTAGATTGCACTTATGGTTACCACCACTAATACTTAATGCTATCATCCATGAAATGAATTTAAGTAGATGGCAAAAAGTTAAAAAAATGAACCATCAAATTTTCACCAGTTACATATAGCTAGAATTTTGATAGATAAGAACAGTGTTGTAATGTTTGTAAGATTGTTGTAAGATTACAATTAGCTAGTGGGAGATTGTTGTAAGGTTTGTAATATGCAAGTGCAGTAGTTAGGCGTATCAGTATAACTAATTACAAGATGCCATCATATTTCTAAAGATGAAATCTGACTATATATATTAACAGAACGACATGCGTGCTTGCTTTTTAAAAAAGAATATTGATGTCACTTCTGTTGGTATTATTATATTTGATAATCAAAGCCAAAGATTTCTGTTTGGTCCCTTTTTTCTTCTTTACTTCTTTTGTCTTTTGTTAAAGACAAAGTTCCTTCATTGGTCGCGGAAAGTCTTTTTCTTCTCCTTATATTGAATTCCTCTTTGTCGGGCTTGTAAAGAGCTAGTAAAAGGTAGTGGTCTCGCGCACATGAAAAATTGGTCCTGAAGGCAAAACAAGTCGATTTGCCCCCAACCCACCCACTAGCGCGCGAGATATGCGTGAGACCTAAGATTTTGCTAAAATTATTTTACAATTTTTGTGTCAAGGAGAGAAGCTTACCAGAAAGTGTCCAAATACATGCTTACCAAAATTCATTATCTTACCGTCTGATTTATTACTTTGTAACAACTATGTGGTAATTGCTACTTGAATTCTTGTAACTCCTAACCCCAATTTAATTCTCTTGTAACAAACTCTAGCATCTTATCTATATTAGAAGCTGTCTTGTGGAGTTTTCAATCACATAAAAAGACACCTTCATCTTCTCTTCTTCTTTAACTGATTTCTGGGCAATTATTTTGTGCAAATTCCAAACTACCAGCCACGAGTGCACGTGTTTGGAGGTGCTGTGGAACCTTGGGGAGCGACCGATCTTAACGATTTACACTCAGTCGGGCCGAAATCACTTTCAAGACAGTGACTTGCCACGACACAATATTTTTCCTTCTTGTTCTTGGTCAATATTATCTACTCATTTTTCTTGCAACTTCCAGACCCCGTAAGGGCGTAATCTGTTATATATATACATCTCCAATGTCAGGCGATCACTATTTTGAAGAAGTGATTTAATTTCTTTAAGTCGTTTTCTGTCTTGAAATCACTATTCTGAAGAAGCTAGCGTTAACGTTTCTCTAAGTCTTTCTTCCTCTCTTAGCTTCAATATTTCTTTCTTCTCTATTATTTTTGTATCACGTATTACTACTTGCTAGTAAAGGGTGATTGATGCTAAAATCAATCTTTCTTCATTCAGTTTTGACTTTTGATTATGCTAATATTTTTTATGCTAATATTTTAACGTAACTACGATACAATGAATCAAGTAGTAGTACTTATTTGTGAAATTAATTTATATAACAAGACAGGTAACCAGATGTGATTATTACGGGTCCCGTGGACTCATCACCATGCAAAGTTATCACTGTCAAGTCAAAAGATCAATTATAGAAACCTCGTATGAAACTTCGAGTTCATATTTTTACTAATTTCTGTTAAGTGGATGAGGTTTTCAAATATGAATCCATATGAATAAAGCATATTTTAATTAATTAATTTGATCAAATCCTTTTTTGAGTGTCTCTTTTCTATCATTTGTCCGACTAAATATTGATATGTTATCTTGGGTCAATTGGTTTTTTGGCCTTTTACAAACTTGTTTTTAGTTTTATGACCCTACCTTTTTTTTTTTTTTTACACATGAGAAGTTTACTTTTACACGTACGAGATTTTTCTTTTACACGTAAGAGATCTATAAAAGACATTTTCTTAAATTAACGGCTTAAAACCTCGTTATTATTATATTTGACTAGAAGTAGCATAAGATTCCCCATATGGCCCAGACTTTTTCTTTTAATATTTAAAATAAATAGTGGCGCGATATAGTACATATTTCCTTGTGTGTGTGTGTATCCAACCGTTAGCTTATAAATATAGTACATTCGTAGTACTATAACTTTGTGTGAGTCATTGAATCTGAAAAAGTGCAAAAGTCGAGGCCGTGCACGAGATTGATCAGAATAAGTTTGATGTTTTTTTCAAGTTGCTGTTCATAGTCAAGCAATGTTCTATCAAATTGGTGACTTTTCTTCGGTCTGTTCTTATATAACCTAAATAAATATCGATTATTAAAAATCTCTAATTAAGTATTTTATTTCTATTTGACTCAGTATTACTACTCTTCTCTACTGTTTAAAATATGTTCATGAACCCTTTTAGCGAAGAACTGAAAAGAGTACATGACTTGCATGTGAAGTTTTGTGTATCTTACTCCTATGTGTTACTCCTTCCACTTTATTCTATATAATACTCTTTCCTTTTATTCTTTAAAAAAAAGTATTCTTATATGTGAAAACTTTTAACTTTAAATGTTTAATGATATGCTTTCAGCTTTTATATAAACTAGTCTTAAAGTACGTGCGATGCACGTGTTTGTTGAGTCAATAACAAAAAAATATTGATAAACTATATTCTTCATCATACAAATAAATATTAATATCGTGTTTTAATTGAATTAAAATAATTTCAATTAGAAATTTTGAACTAAATATTAAATAATGTGCCAGCACAAGTTGCTCCGTATTTGAACAAAATTATGATTTTGGTAAAAAGATAGTTAGAGGTTATACTATTTAAAGAATGGTATTTTACTAATCTTTTTCAATTTTAATTTTTTAGAAGTTATGGGTCTTCATTGTTTCCTTCTTTTTTTTTTTTTTTGGTCTTCTTGATATGCTTTTGCCTTCTATCTTTTCATCTTTAATTTTTATTGCATCAACTTTTACAATTTTGTGTAACTCCAATATAATTAAACATCTTTTGACATGATGCCCTCAATTTATGGTATATATTTTGAAAAGAAAGATAGATATTTTTTATCCATACTTAGGACCATTTTACGATAAAAACTATTTCTGTTAAAAAAAATAGTAGGTTAGATAAAATATGGACTATATATATTTATTGTATTGTAAAAATTAGATGAAAATGATATAACATTTTGAGAGATTAACTCTATATATTTTGTATTATCGCAACTCGCAACCAACCTAGTATCTTGTAGCTTCAAAGAGTGTTATATTACTACTCATGTTTTTTATTGTTAATATCAAACATCTCATATATTGAAATATATCTAAAAGTCATACATAAATAAGTTGTTATTGCATTTATGGATATATCATAATGAATCTTTTAATCTTAAATAATTATAAACCCCTAAATATTACGATTTATCACATAATTCAATTGAATTGAATTCTTTTGCTAATTAGTTAATTAAAAAATTTAACTATTTGTTCTTAGCACTATAAGAATAATTCTTTACTTTTTCATATTCTTATAATAGCTCATCTATTTTAAATTATTTAAGTGTACTTGCTAAGGAAAATAAAAAAATTCTTTATATTGTTAACTTTTCAGTAATAAAAAATTAAAAACAAAAATTAATAAAGTAATAAGAATTGAGTTGCATTGGTTGGGAAAATATTTTTTGATCTCGATAGAAAATATGGCAAATAGGTTGCAACAACAATTTGCTAGCTAAAGACTTTGAGCAAAGCGGCAAAGCGCTTGAAAAGAAAAAAGAACAAAAAATTTATTTTCTTAATTCGGTTTGCTTCAAATAAGGAAATTAATAATTTTTAGAAAGTAAAATATTAATTAATTTTAAAATCCTAAATATTAGGAGAGTAACCTAAATTATAATGTTATCCACTATAAAATCTATTTTTAAAGGATAAAAAAAGCGAACGACATTTTGCTAAGGGCTTTCGTGCTTTTAATATAATATAAATATCACAATAATCTTTAAAATTATTGCTTTTGATATATATGCCAAAAGTATTTTCTTTCTTAACCTCTGCCGGTGCCTATCTAACACAGCATTTAAAATGAAATGAAGTAAATATAAATGTATTTGAAATGATTATTTTATGTTTAGATCTTACTTAGTGCTCTGTTAACCGTGTTAGAAAATGAGATCAGAGTAATTATAAAAGTTGAACAGTTATTGGTTGAAATGCGCATTAGAATATTCGACTTATTCTATATCATTATTGTCTTACTTTTGTATAATATCTTTCTTGACTAAAAGGGGGAAATAATAAAATAACTTTTGGTTCCAAATTTGACCAATTTGCTTCCTCTCCAAGTATCTCCTCTACAGTCTACATACAAATAGGAGAAGAAAAGACTTCTAGGGTGTGTTTGGTAAAAAGGAAAATATTTTCTAATTTTTTCATGTTTGGTTGGCTTAAATGTTTTAGAAAATATTTTTCTCGTGATCTCATTTTCTTCCAATTGGAGAAAAATATTTTCCCTATCAAGCGAAATGAAAATATTTTCCAAAACTCTTCTTCAACTTTCCCCAACAAAATAATGTAGTAAAAATTATCTTCTTTCATTTCAACAAAAAAATACTTTATTTTCATGATGTTGAAAAAGTATTTTCTTTCATTTCAATAAAATGATGTAGTAAAAAATACTATCTTCTTTCGTTTCAACAAAAAAAAGTACTTTCTTTTCATGATTTGAAAAAATATTTTCTTTTATTTCAACAAAATAATGTAGTAAAAAGTATCTTTTTTCATTTCAACTAAAAAGTACTTTATTTTTATGATATTAAAAAAGTATTTTCTTTCATTTCAACAAAATGATGTAGTAAAAAATATCTTCTTTTCATTTCAACAAAAAAAGTACTTTCTTTTCATGATGTAGAAAAAATATTTTCTTTCATTTCAACAAAATGATGTAGTAAAAAATATCTTCTTTTCATTTCAACAAAAAAAGTACTTTCTTTTCATGATGTAGAAAAAATATTTTCTTTCATTTCAACAAAAGAGTGTAGTAAAAAATATCCTCTTTCATTTCAACAAAAAAATACTTTATGTTCATGATGTAGAAAAAATATTTTCTTTCATTTCAACAAAATGATGTAGTAAAAAGTATCGTCTTTCATTTCAACAAAAAAATATTTTCTTTCATTTCAACAAAATGATGTAGTAAAAAGTATCGTCTTTCATTTCAACAAAAAAAGTACTTTCCTTTTATGATGTAGAAAATATATTTTTCTTTCATTTCAACAAAATAAAAATGAGTATTTCTTTCATGAAGTAAAAAAGTATTTTCTTCGTTTCAACAAAAAAATATTTTCTTTTATGATGTAGAAAAGTATTTTCTTTCGTTTCAACAAAATAATGTAGTAAAAAGTATTTTCTTTCGTTTCAACAAAATAATGTAGTAAAAAGTATTTTCTTTCGTTTCAACAAAATAATGTAGTAAAAAGTATTTTTTTTTATTTCAACAAAAATATTTTATAAAAAAATATTTTTTACTCTAAACAAACACTAGAAAATATTTTTTCCGAAAATATTTTTCATTTACCAACCAAACATAAAAAAATAAGTAATAAAACCACTCATTTTCTAAGAAAATATTTTTTATGAAAAACATATTCCTTCGTGCCAAACACACCCATAATCTTTGGGGACTCGGAAAGCAAGAACATTTTTGGGCAGAGACATTAATTGTTCCGGATGGTTACTACATCAGCTTTAATTTACTGCATCAAAATTACTAAATTATTTTTACAACAAAAAAATTATTTAATTTTACCTATTATATTAGAAAGTCATTAAAAAATAGTCACTCTTTGATCTTCCAAATGATAAAGTTCCACATAAATGAAATAAAGAGGCTGTTATTTAAATCCAAAAAGTTAAAGCTCATCTACTAACCGGAATCCAAATATTGTATAATTAGACTCAAGCGACCAAACTATGGCGAAAAAAAGGGAGACAAAAATAGGTATAACGCATTAATTTAATGCGCTATGTATGTCAATTTATTTTTTTACCAGACAGCGTTAACGTCCCTCTTTCTTTGTTCTTGAAATACACGTGGCACAGAAAAAATAGATAAAGAGAATTTAATGTACCAAACAATAAGAAGTGTGCTGGGTGGTGTAATTGTTAAAGGCTAGAAATAAAATTGGTTTTGGCCTTCAAGTCCAAGGACAACAATATTTTGTTTTTTTATTTCTTTTTTATTTTTTTTCATTATTTGGTTTAAGTATTTAGATATAAATACTTTAATATTTATAATTACTTTTTAATGTAACTAAAATCATTTAATATTTATTAGAAAATTATGATTTTTGAATTCATTTAAAGTATAAAAAAAAGCCTTTTATTATTTTGTTAAAATAATCTACCGATATTTTTAATAGTTGTTATTTTGTATTATATGCAAAACAAAATTCTTTTTTTTTCTCTTTTTATTTTCAAATTAGAATTATGAGTTTTATTTTATAGTTAAAATTTCCATAAGAGAATTTTAATTAATATATACAGTTTAATCTATTGCTTGGATTTTTTTATTTTTTAATATTTTTCTTTTTGAATTTAATTATTAAAATTTTAGTTATATTTACACTATATGAATTTTATTAATCAAAATTCTAATTATATTTTTATATTTTTTCTTAAATGTATTTTTTATTTCTCCTTTTATTCCTTGGCTATTGTAATTGTATTATCCATTAAAAAAATTTAAATAAGAATATGGTTGTTCTTATTATTAAACTGGTTATAACCATTTAATTTTTAAAATTATAATCCATTAGGATTATTATTAGCTAAGTAATGGAATATAATTCATATATTTTTATTAGGAAAACTGATTGAATGGTTGCTCGTAGACTAAATTTTTTCTAATAAGAATTGTCCTTAACTAAACTGATTATAACCATTTAATTTATGAACAACCATTTAATTAATTTTTTTAAACTAAATTTTCATAAACTAAACTGTATTATAATCATTTAGTTTATGAACAATCATTTAATTAATTATCCTGATAAGAATATGAAAAACATAATTCATTACTTAGCTAATAATAATTCTTGGTTTATAATTTTAAAGATTAAATAGTTATAATTAGTTTATATTTAATAATAAGAAAATTATAAGATTTATAATTAGAATTTCGATTAATAAAATTCATATAGTGTAAATATAACTAAAATTTTAATATTTAAATTAAAAAATAAAATAAAATAAAATAAAAAATTCAAGCAATAGATTAAACTGTATATATTATTCTCTTATGAAAATTTTAACTGTAAAATAAAACTCATAATTCTAATTTGAAAATAAAAAAATATATATATTTTATGTATAATACAAAATAACAACTATTAAAAATATCGATAGATCTTATTGCTGCTTACCAAGTCTATAGCTAGCCTTTGACCATTACACTTCCCTATACTCTATTTTTCTTGTTGTACATTAAATTTTCTTTATCTGCTTTTAATGGCCATGTGAATTAAAACAAAGAAAGAGGATACATATTTCCCCCTTCTAACCATAGTTTGGTTAGACAATATTTGGGTTCCGGACTCAACAAATGTAGGCACAGAATACTTGTCAAAAAGCTAAGTGGGAATGTGGCTCAGAGCAAAATGCACCAATAAGCTGCACACACTGCACAGACACAGACAAAGATAGAATATGACCTGGTTTGATGCAAGCCATGACCCATGTTTGACTGGCTCTAGCGGGTTAAAAACCTGGACCCGTCAAGCTTTATCTGATCATCACTTTTAAGTTTTAACATTTAATTTCTTTGCTTCTTTTCTTCTCCTTCACAGAAGGTTCCCTTTCCCTTTTTCTCTTGGCTTAGTATTGACTCCTTGGGCTTTAATATTCATATCCTCTTCGCATTTTTTTTGCCGTTTCATTCTCTTAAATAAAAGTGAGAGAGTGCCTCCCATTTTCACTTCATCGCGCAACTTCTCTTTAGTCTAAGGTACGCACACCAGTAGATAGAAATGTTTGTAAAGCTTTTGTTTTTCAAGTTGAGATTTTTGTGATGACTGATTCTGGTTCCCCCAACTTCTTCAGTTCTCAATTGGGTTTTTGTTCCTCTCGATGTTATTACTCTGTTGATTTTTTCCAGGCTTATGGAGTTTCTTATCTTCCTTTAGAAACTTTTTTTTTGAACGAAAAAAGAATCTAATCTTATGAAAGAGAAATAAAAATTAATGGTGTTCACATTTTTTTCTTTCCAGTTTGGTGTTTTGTGCCTGGCTTCTCTTTCGTGAAATTTGTAACTTAGATTTGATCTTCGTTCTTTCAGTTCTTTTTCGTCTTCTTTTTTTAATTATTTATTTTCGTGTTTTGATTTTGAGTCATATTGTTATTCATTGCTTTGATTCATTGGGTGATATCTTTAATGTTTGCTTTGATTCATTGGGTGATATCTTTAATGTTTGTTTTGATTTATTGCAATTAATTAGCTTAATGTGACCGAGTTTCTGAAAAGTTTTAGGTTTTGTTTCCACCCATTATCTGGTTCTTCTATTGTTTTGGAGTCTTATATCGATATTAGCCAGTATAAGTTTGCTTATGATAAAAGAAATAGTTATCACCTTTTCAATATATGCACAGCTTAGTATATTCTCATTGTTTATTGCAACCCAATGAAATTTTTGTTTCATCCCTCTTTTCTCCTTGTAATATTTTCCTCCTTTCTCCTTTATTTGTAGATTGTGCACGTCTATGGATCCTCGGTTCAATCCGTTGCCTCATCCAGTAAACACTTTCGAGTTCGAAGATCAGATCAATTTGTCTAGCTTTGAGGAATCACTGAATCATCCTCTCAGTTATACGAATGACTATGTAGCTTTTGGTGCCCCTTACAATACATCAAGCCCAGACGTTGGTAACTTTGCTCCATCCTCAAATGTGAGCTCGGAAGTGGACTCTCCAGATGATCACGACTCTGATTCTCTATTCAAGTACCTTAACCAGATACTAATGGAGGAGAATATTGAAGATAAGCCCAGCATGTTCCATGATCCGCTTGCTCTAAAAGCTGCTGAGAAGTCCTTCTATGAAGCCCTTGGCAAGTCGTACCCTCCTTCACCCTATCGTACCTCTGATTATGTTGACCATCAGTTAAAAAGCCCAGACAGCATTTTCTGGAATTCCAGCGAGCATAGTACAAGTAGTAGCAATACTGGTACTAATTCCACCGATACTCAATGGGTTGTTGATCCTGGAGAATCTAGGTTGCCTGTCGAGAGTCATCCATCGGAATACAACGTCCGACCTTTGGTGCAGAGTAACTCAGAGAGGTCCCGTGGTTCTTTAAATAACTTCAATAATTCAAATGCCCATGTGGACTCTTTAGTAAATCCTAATGTTGTTTCAAATGTATTTACTGATAGTGAGTCCATCTTACAGTTCAAGAGAGGGATGGAGGAAGCTAGTAAATTCCTTCCAAACCTCAGTCAATTTGTCATCGATTTGGATAATTATACATTGCCTCCAAAGATGGAGGAAGTATCCAAAGAGGCTGTCGTCAAGGTAGAGAAGGATGAGAAGAATCACTCACCTAATGGCACGAAAGGAAGAAAGCATCAGTATCCCGAGGACAGTGATTACGAGGACGAAAGGAGCAACAAACAATCAGCAATATATGTGGAGGAGGTTGAGTTATCAGAGATGTTTGATAGGGTTCTGCTTTGTACAGATAAGGGGACAGGATGTGGTGATGTCAAGTGTGAGATGCCATCTGAAGTAAACAAAAGTTCAGATCAGAATGGACAAGCACATGGATCAAATGGTGGAAAAACTCGTGCTAAAAAACAAGGGACTAAAAATGAAGCTGTGGATCTAAGGACTCTCTTAATTAGCTGTGCACAATCTGTTGCTGCTGACGATCGCAGGACGGCAAATGAACAGCTAAAGCAGATCAGGCAGCATTCTTCACCCACAGGTGATGCATACCAGAGGCTGGCCAGTGTATTTGCAGATGGCCTTGAAGCTCGTTTGGCTGGCACTGGCACTCAACAATATGCTGCCCTTGCCCCGAAAAGGATCACAGCTGCTGAGAAATTGAAAGCATACCAGGTTTACCTTTCGTCATGCCCGTTCAAGAAAATATCAATATTGTTTGCGAATAAAATGATCTTCCACACAGCATCGAATGCCAGGACATTGCATCTCATAGATTTTGGTATAACATACGGTTTCCAGTGGCCAATACTCATCCAGATTCTCTCACAGATACCTAGTGGGCCTCCAAAGCTTCGCATTACTGGAATAGACCTTCCCCAACCTGGCTTCAGGCCAGCAGAAAGCTTAGAACAGACAGGGAGCCGCTTGGCAAAATATTGCGAGCGCTTTCATGTTCCATTTGAGTATAATGCGATAGCTACACAGAATTGGGAGAATATTAAAATTGAAGACTTGAAACTTGCAAGTGGCGAGACTGTTGCTGTGAACTGTCTTTTTCGTCTTAAGAACCTATTGGATGAGACGGTGGTTGTGGACAGTCCAAGGGATGCAGTTCTGAGCTTAATTAGAAAGATGAATCCAGATATCTTTGTGCAAGCTGTAGTCAATGGATCTTACAGTGCACCCTTCTTTGTCACTCGCTTCAGGGAGGCCCTCTTCCACTACTCAACTCTCTTTGACATGTTTGATGCTACTTTACCCCGTGATGATCAGCAGAGGTTGCATTTTGAACAAGAATTTTATAGGCGCGAGGCAATGAATGTAATTGCTTGCGAAGGGTCCGAGAGGGTTGAGAGGCCTGAGACATATAAGCAGTGGCAGGTCCGCAATATGAGGGCTGGATTCAAGTTGCTTCCCTTGAACCAACAACTCATGCAGAAGTTAAGGTGCAAGGTAAAGGGGGGATACCACCGAGATTTTGTGTTTGATGAGGATGGTAATTGGATGTTACAGGGTTGGAAAGGCCGGGTAGTATGTGCTAGCTCGTGTTGGGTGCCAGCATAGAAGTATCTGAAACACGTTCATTGTCAAACTCAAAATCCTGAGGTCTCCAAAAAGATCATGGGAGGACTGCATTCATGCATGAGATTGCACTTCTGTATTCAGCTGCTTTGGCCGGCGGCACAATTTTCTTTTTAGTTCATAGGATGCTGTTATGTAGCCAAAACCGATGTGTTATGTAGCCATTCTGTACATAATGTTGTCCCTAGAAAGGATTGGTTTTTGCTAATCTTGATTAAGCTTAGTATGGTGAAACACATAGTTGAAACTGTTTGTGCGACTTAGCTTTGCTTGTCATGTCTCCTTGTGATCGTTCTGTGTACAATTGGCTAACGACTGGTAGTAGTTATCTATCTACGTTCTCTAAAATTAGCCTAATGAGGTGTGTTGTCTAACATTTCAATTTTATGTATCAAGGAGAAAAAGGAGAATTTTGAAACCCATTATGTTAAAACTTTGTTTCCCTTTCCAGTTCAGTTTTTTGGTTTTAACAAAAATGTCACTAGTTTCTAGGATAAGATACATCTTTTGTCTTGACAAAGATAATCTTATGGTGACTATGGTAGTTGCATAATTTCTCATATCTTTTCTTTTTTGCTCTCTGACATATTCTTTTTTTCCCTAGCAATTGAAAGGGAAAAAATGTTGACCAAATTAACTTTTAAATTTGTATTTTACCTTCAATTTTATGAATTTCATGTTAAGCCCCCTTTCATTAAATTAATAGATAAAGCGTAATATTTGAAGCAATTCTCCCTCCTTTTTATTGTTCTTTCTCATATATTTGGCATTAGTTCTCTCTGGGTTTCCTTCTTACCACGTAAATATTCTTACGATAATATAACTCTTTGATGAACTGAAAGAAAAGAATCTGTTCTACTATTGATCTATTTAACTAACGAAAAATCACTAAATTAAATAAATCCGAACCTACTAGAAAAAACTAAAGAAGACATCTCAAAGACAGGTTATCACATGCTTTTAAGATTAAAAAAACCATTATAAAAAAAAGATAATGTCAGTAAGAAAGATATCATTAATTACGAGACAAGTTTTATCCGATATTTGTCCTGCACTATCTTTAAGAAAATAGGAATCTTGATTTTATTTACACTGCAGTTTAACCTTTTATTTGATTCTTTTTATTAAGAGCGTAATAAGGATTAGAGGTACAAGTTTGATTCTTTTTCTTGTGCCAAACAAGTGTAAATATTTATGGTAGTTACTGGTTTCCAGAATATTTACCAACTCTAATACCTCGCTCGTAGAATTGGGTAAACGTAAATCATTACATTTAAAAGTTTAACTATTAAAGCGAAAACACTTTTTTATATTCACAACTAAAATGATAAATTATTAAATGGTTTCAATATCTTCATTCAAAATCACTAATAACACTATGTGGAATTATAAAGCCTCAAATAGAATGAACCTGGTCCATAAAATGAAGTCAATTTAGTTTGGACTAAACTGCATTGAGATATGTAATTTGACGTTTGGTTTGGAAGACATATTTGTCTTTTGGTTTAATAATTGACTTATTACAGTATAGTGTCTTCTTACATCGTATGCTGCCCTTTTGTTTTGCGCTTGTCATTTTCTCTGACGCTTTTACTATATTAGACGGTCCAATTGATAAAGCAATTTTAAGTGATTACATACGAAAAATAGATGTCCATAATTGTGTAGTCCCCGTGATCCATCATGATATATGTTTAATTGCGTCTTTGTCATCTGTATCTGCGGGAAATTTCCTTAAGTAAGGGTAACAAAAAATTTCAATAGAAACAGCAAGCAGTCGTCTAATTATTTAAGATGAGAAAAATGAAAGAGGAATCATTCATAATTTTTTTTATAAATATTTAGTCACTTTGAATAGTCAATTTTCTTTTTCAAAGTAAATATGTTTCACCAATATCAAAGTGTTAGTTATAACAAGCGGTATTGCGTTTTGAAGATAGTAATTTCTTAATTGTTGAATTGTTCCTTAGACATTTGTCGTTCAAAAGAATTTAAGTTGTATGCAGCCGTTTAAATATAAATTTCGATGGTTCTAGCATGTTACTTTTTTCATGTTGCAACATTTACTTTAGTTTTTTATTTATTTATTAAAACACTAATTTGAGTTTGGCATTCTAACTTTGTACATGATCATTACTTCATAGCAGCTGAGAGAGTTGAGGAGACAGGGCATCGACTAGCAAATTATTGCAAGACATTTAATGTCCCTTTTGAGTATAAAGCTATAGCTAAGAGATTGGGATTCTATCAAGATAAATAGGGATGAGATGCTTGTAATTAATTGGTTATAAATGTTTCTGATGAACTAACTGGAGGACGAAAACAGTCCAATATAATGGACGATGTTCTAAGATTGGTTAAGCAAACGAAGCCTGAAGTTTTCCTTACGGTCAAAACCGGTTAGTACTTCGTACGAACTGATCGAAATAGTAATGTATTGGATCGAAGATCAGGTTGAGATCCGAAGTCAGGTCATCAAGTTTCGAGCCTTAGGGATCGATCAATATCGAGCTCGATATCATTATCGAGCTCGAATCCAAATCGAACTATGATGAAGTTATCGAGCTTACGAGGCAGAGACCGACCAACACTGTCCCCGAATCAATACAAGGCTCCGAATCAGAATCGAGCTCGAGTCAAGATCGAGAGCTCGAGTCAATATCGAGCTCTTAGACAAGAGCCGTTGCAACCGCACTAGGGGAGAGAATCCTGACAGGAATTATAGAAAAGCTGATTTATCATGGGTCTCCCACTATGTATTTTTAATTGTATCTAAAGTAGGATCCCTCCACTATAAGGGGTTGGTTATTATTTCTGTAAAAACTAAGTTTTTGCTTACATTGTAACTAAAATATCATATACTCTCATACTGAAGAATTATCCTTTTTAGTTTCATAGATTGACTTATCTTGTTTAATCCATAAATCATCCTCTTCTAAACTTTGTTTATTTTCATTCTTTACAGTCAATATTCGATATTTCCATTTACTCTTACGATTTGTGTCAAGTTATACCATATACCCTTAGAACTACGTACAAATTCAACTCCATCCATTTTTTGGGTAAACAGTTTGGCGCCCACCGTGGGGCTAAGGATAACAGTGGTTATTTAATATGAATCCACAAAACACGCCATTTTACGCTTGTTTCCGTAAGTGTTTTTGATTTCGGATTAGCAACGACGAGCTATCAAATAAATGGCCTTACCTATCGACAACGAAGTTGGTCTTTAAGGTGAGAACAACAACTTAACGCCCAAGACCGAAAGGCCGCTTGTCGACGCCGTTGAAGCTCGAGTCGAAATGCCATTAGATGTTAATTCGCATGTGGCCATTGAGGCAAACCTACGTTCTGAACCCGAAAATAGCATCCATGGTGGCACTCGATCTGCAGCTAGAGATACCCATAACGTAGAAGAAAACGGCGTCAGCTTGCGCATGATTTTCGAAATGTTGCAAGCTCAACATGCAACAATAGCTCAGTTACAGAGTCAAAACCAGATACCGAGCAGGACGGAGCCCAGTCCACCCCGAGAAATCGCCCATAGAACGGAACCAGCTATAGTAAGGTCAAATGAGCATGAGTCGGGGACTAATCCCGAAAATGCTAAGATGTTCGAAGAACTGACCAAACGAATAAAATCAGGAGAAAGGAGGATCGAGGCAAACGACAAAAAGGTGGAAACATATAACTCCAGGGTTGATCAGATCCTAGGGGCACCGCCAATATTGAAGGGCTTAGATTCTAAAAAATTCGTACAAAATCCTTTCCCCCCAAGCGCGGTTCCAAAATCGATCCCAAAGAAATTCTGCATGCCCGAGATTCCTAAATATAACGGAACTACTGACCCCAACAAACATGTCACCTCTTACATATGTGCCATCAAAGGGAACGACCTAGAGGACGATGAAATCGAATCCGAATTATTGAAGAAATTTAGTGAAACCCTGTCAAAGGGAGCAATGATATGGTATTATAATTTACCATCTAATTCTATCGATTCTTTTGCTATGCTTGCAGATTCCTTCGTAAAAGCACACACCGGGGCCATAAAGGTCGAGACCAGGAAGTCGGACCTGTTCAAAGTAAGACAAAAGGATAACGAGATGCTAAGGGATTTCGTATCTCGTTTTCAAATGGAACGAATGGATCTGCCTCCAGTCACAAATGATTGGGTTGTTCAGGCTTTCATTCAAGGTTTGAACGAACGAAGTTCGACGGCTTCACAATGGTTGAAGCATAACCTGATCGAGTACCCAGTTATTACTTGGGCCGACGTGCATAATCGGTACCAGCCAAAAATTAGAGTCGAGGATGATCAGTTGGGTTCTGAACCCGCTGCTAGAAGGGACACCAATCGAGAACAAGGTCCGATCAGGGACCGGTACCGACCATATAGTGGAAGTCACAGAATCAATGAATCGAGACGTAACCCCGGACAAGGTAACAAAAAAAGTGATCGAGGTCAAGGGTCTCGGGGGCTGATGAACAGAAATAGGTTCGACAGGCTTACCGGACCTAAGAAAGCACCATATTTATTGGAGTATAACTTCAGCATTGATGCATCCGCCATCGTGTCCGCTATCGGACGCATCAAAGACACTAAATGGCCTCGACCTATACCGATCGATCCTGCCCAAAGGAATCCCAATTAAATGTGCGAATATTATGGCACCCATGGCCACAAAACGGAAGATTACAGGCAACTAAGAGAGGAGGTAGCCTGGTTATTCAATAAAAGGGACCTTCGAGAATTTTTAAGCGACAAGACCAAAAACCATTTCAAAAACAGGGATTTCGGCAAACAAAACGAATAGGAAGAACCACAACACATCATCCACATGATCATCGGTGGCGTCGATACCCTTCAAGGGCCGGTTCTTAAACGCACTAAGACATCGGTTATGGGGGAAAAGCGACCCCGAACTCAGGGTTATGCACCCATATGAACATTGTCCTTTAATGATGAAGATGCAGAAGGAGTCATGCAACCTCACAACGATGCACTGGTAATATCTGTACTTATGAATAAAACTAAAGTTAAGCGTGTGTTAATTGATCCAGGTAGCTCAACCAACATTATTAGATCGAAGGTTGTAGAACAGCTCGGTCTATAGGATCAGGTCGTACCCGCAACCCTCATTCTAAGTAGATTCAATATGGCATGTGAAACCACCAAAGGCGAGATAATTCTGCCGATAAATGTGGCCGGGACCATCCAGGAAACGAAGTTCCACGTAATCGAAGGCGACATATGGTACAA